TCAGCCTCCCAGCTTCCCTGGTTCCGGAGTTAGCCACTTTCCTACTAAAAATTTCCACGGGCAGTACGTGGCAATCACGCATAACAGGGGCTGAATTTGACAAATTTAAGTTGTAGATAAACACGGAACATTTGCTAAAGTTTTAGCCCCTCAGCTTTCCTGGTCCCCAAGCTATCGATTTTCGCGCCAGGAACCCTCACGGGACCGTACGCGGGAAACGCGCACACCTGGGGGTTGAATTTAAAATCTTTGAGTTCTATATGGATGGGGAACATAATCAAAAAATTTCAGCTTTCTAGCTTTTCTGACTCCCAAATTAGCGATTTACTTTGAGGCGCTCGTACGCGGGGCCTAGACGTGTGTGAGGGTTGTTACCACGGTCCTGGGGTGGCACTTGGCCGGGGAACCTCCTCGCAAAATTTTGGCGCCGGAGCTTGCTTGGAAGCCGAGTTGAATTACCCGGACAGATGCGCGCACACACACGCGCACACACATACACACATACATACATACACACACACATGCACACACACACGCACACACACACACCGGGGTCATCGCAATATGCGTTTTCGCATTTACATATATGCAAAAAGCATAAAAACTACTTTTAACTATAATGGAAAATATTTTTACAGGTCCATAAAAGGGGCGAGAACTGGCCTTCTCCAATTCGCAGTTTTTCAGACATTAATTTTGTTATTCTGGCAACGTAGTAATGATATGTACAGGACCTGGCATCGAGTATTCTTGGCTGAGGGCAATGACCTCTGCCTTGGCTCAAATGGGATTTCTCAAGTTATTCGTCACTGGTTGTAGTTCGGTAGTTCAGTTCGGAGCCCTGATCGTTTTGAGTGTGTTCCAAATAATTCATTGTTTGTAACCGCATGATCTGGTCCCTGTAGATCCATTAAGCAAGTCACACGTCCCAAACAACACAAACATTCACCCTCACGTTTCACATATTTTTATTCTACTCAGTCACCTAAAAAATCAAAACACAAGCTCGAAAACCTTGATTTTTTTAACGAGATATTTTAAATTCGTAGGAGTAGTTTCCAATAGATTACGTGTTAAAATAACCTGGTTTGAACTGTTGGCTGATCGCTCTCCTCTTTCATCGCCTTTGCTTTGCAGTACAGAATCCGCTATTTTTAATATGTGAAAGCCAATCCTTTCACACTTCATTCAACCGCTTCAGCGCTGAATGAGCTGGCTCATGCCATACCAATTTTTTCATCGAAATTAATCAGCGAGTCAACCATTTCAAACACGACTCTGAAGTAACCCTCGAAAAAGAGAGCCGCCGGCAGCTTCCTGAATGGATGGTGGCCATTGGCTAAGTGATACTCCACCATATCCCAGATTTTCTCATCTTGACCGGAATTTTCAGACATAAAACTCCGGTTGTGAGTGGGGCTTGTTCTGTACTAGAGCAGCAGCTACTTCATAGCTAGATTTCGAGCTCCAGCATTTCTGGACCCAAAGAACGAGTGCGCAAAGTAGCGCAAAAATGAGCAGCAGAAGAGCAGCGCTGATCAGAATGTAATGGATCGATTCCATCGCGCAACAGCCTTCCTAAAATAGCAAAAATTGAAGTTCGCCTGGCCTTTTCTGTCCAAACTGGCGCACTAAACAAGCTCAGTCCCAATGAGGAGTGGGCAGAAGGCCAGAGAGAGAAAGAAGACAGGAAAAGTGGCAACGTGCTTATACATATGGGCGCAAGGCCTCGGCAGCATGCTAAGCCTCTAAAAATAATGTCTGGACTGTTCCCGAAGACAGAAATGACAAATTAGTCGTCTTTTAACCAATCCTGGCAAGTGGGCCTTAACAAAATGTGTTCAATCAGTGCTTTTTCGTCCCTTCCTCTGCTCCCACTTCACTGCTGCTGCTCTGTCTAAGATAAAAGATGTTAGGGTTTCACGACAGACTTCGACCGAAGTCCGACTTTTCCGATATGCTCCAGCAATTGTTCTACCTCTGAAGTTTATTTGACTAATTTTATTAAAGAATTATTTGGAGAAAGATCGACGTGATTTTTAAAACCTGAAAACCTCAACTATTGCATTCAATGGATGGCAAGTGTCGGCAGTGTTGAAGAGAGTGTTGCAATGAAAGATGCTTGGCGTATCTCTCTGCGACCACGTAAACAATCGGGCTCTTTCTTGATAAGCGGCGGTAAGGATGCCATTGCGTCCGTGCAAGGACGTAAAGTCCGATGGGCATGACATGTTACTCATCTTATCAACAATCAGTGAAGGCGCATTAGTAAGTGGCGCCCACGAAAAAGTGAACGACCGCTTGGCCGATCTCAAAGGGACGGCGCACATACGCAACAGAGGAGGCGGTAGGTGCTAGTCGGAGGTATGCAACCCTGGAAGAACTTGGTATATTTGCTTCCAGGTGTGTGGAGGTATCCTAGTAACATCACTCAGAAGGCATATCCACCCACTGACAGTCCGGGCAGTATCAGTAACCTTGGTGAATATACACAAAATATTTGTGTATTGTGTTTTGCAAATTTTTTCTCAATTTAGTCTTTTCTCAAAGGTACCAAGAGCAACAAGACCGCTCAGTTAATCGTTATGGGTATCCCATGCCAGCGGTGTTACCGAGAATTTTCCAGACATCGGGAACAGCTGTGCCGGACCCTTGAATTTTAAAATATTTCAATCAAATTCACTACAAAAAAAACTAAGGCAGATAATAAGCTGTTGAACATCACCGCCTCGTTTCAAACGCTGCTGCTTCAAGACCACGGCTAGTAAGAAGTATATGCTGATACTAAATCCGTCAAAATTTTCTGGATGAAGTGTGGAAAATCAAACAAAAAATAAAAATTGGAGTTGTTAGCTGCACACTAAAGCAGTGTTTTCCTAGCTTGCTTGAGAGAAAGACTGAGTGTTTTTTGGTTCTGGACGCAAGCAGATGCAAACAGGGAGTCATTGCACTCTGTGTTTGCAGATCCTTAATTTTAACTGCTTCATTGGGCCGCCCATATACCCATTCTTATTGACTGATTTATGAAATTCTTGTAAAAATCATCCAGCTCAAAAATGCTAGGTGCTGCCTACGCTGACTTTATAGCATTCGTCGAATCGCTGTTGCTTCCCATATTTCCCACTCTTCTCCTCTGTATTTTCCTTTTTATGTCTAGGTTTCCCTCCCTTTTTCCTTTCCGTTTTCGACATCACAACCATCGTATTGACGGGGTCCTGCGTGCATAAACACAATGGATGCGACCTAACGGACCGGAACATTCCTGCCCAGATATTTCTCCACAGGTTTCTTAGATGTTCTTGGAACTTCTTCATTTCAGTTGACACTTAACGGATAAATCAAACATGTTGACTACTACTGCAACACCATAGTACGTCAAGTCCTTCCTCCATCCATCTTTCTCTGAAAATTAATGGCCTAGTTGCTCTGAACAAAGCTGAGTGGTAACATTTTAACAACAACAAACAAACACATGCAAGGCTTTGTTTTCTATAATAGCATTTTGATTTTGTTGGCAAAAAAAGGTTTTTCTTTCAAAAAGCACATTGCATTTTTTGTTTGCTTAAACGGCTTAGCAGCTATAAGCAACTGCTTTCTTAATTTTGAGTGTCAAGTTTCTGCAGTGCTTTATTGACAATTTTTGCCAATCAAAATCTGAAAAGAACGCATTTCGTTTTACCAATCCCTCCCGCTCCCTCTCGCCGTTTAGTTGTCATTCAGCAAGTGTGCCGTTTCCAAACAAATAGATCTGATGCTTCAAAACTGCAAGTAAAAATAAATCTGCAAAACTAACAGATATGTGTGGAAACGTAGAACATCTGTGAATGTTTAATTTTTATAAGCAAAAAAAAACAATTTTTGGTCAACTTTTCAGAAACAAATGAAGGATCTTTGCTTCTAATAATAATGCAGCCACGTTTTTCCCAGAAAAACAATTTTTATGAAAACAAAATTAGCATTTTTTCGATAAGAAAGGCATTTTGACACACATTTTAACATTACTTTTTCTGCTGTCATCCATAGCATGGCTCATCAACTACAAGCTTGCAGTTCCTAATTACTTTGACTGGCGCTACTTCTGCTGGTTAGCCTGCTGGCAATTCTGGCATTCGTTCTGCCTCCTGAAGAGATTACCAACTCAGTGTTTGTTGCGATAAAAGTACCTGGCAAAATTTTAGCCGTTTCGAAATGTACAGATTTCAATTAAGCATTTATTTTTGTGCTGAAAAGGCAACATAACTTTCAATTAGCGGAGTAGCCATGACTCTATTTAAATTGAATATTTTCCAGAAAATTTCATCAAAAAAAAGCACTCTTATAATTCTGATTGAATTTTTAGCTCATACAAGGGCAAAGAACATCGCTGTAAAATCTCAGCCTCCTATCTTCTCTGGTCCCGAAAAATGCTTGCCCGTCAAGAAATTTACGTTTTCTTATAAGTATCCGTATGTGTGACTCAAGCGTGCGTGAATGATAGTATTAAAACGGGAGAACCGCGCACGGGATGGAAAGATGCTAAAAATTTCAGTTTACTAGTTTCTCTAACTGTTGAATAGAAAGTGAATGGCAAAATGCGAAGCACACAGACACATATATATATATATATATATATATATATATACATATATACACATATATATACATATATATGTATACATATGTATATATATATGTATATATACATATATACATACATATATATACAGTATATATACATATACGCATGTACACAGAGAGGATTTTTGCCAATGCGCTTTTTTGTACAAATATGCAAAACACGTAAAAAGTGGGTGTTTCATCGTTGTGTGCCTCTTTGCTACACAGAACTTTTTGGTCTGCATATTTTTACATGGATGCAGAGTTGCCAGCTGCACTAATACAGATGTCTAATTGTTAAATATACCGCAAATTTTCCTGGAAAAAACAAAAATTCATCAAATATCGCCTGAAAAGATTTCTCAATCCTCTCCTTCTGGGCTGTACCACTATCTTTACGGTATTTACAATAAAACACAGGTCCGACTCTGCACTCTCGAGAACATGTTGTTCCTCAGCAAGAAGCCTTTACTTTCGCTGTATTCTGGTGGCGGCTCATGATACTGTTGCCGTGTTTGCAGCTGCTGCAGCTCTGTTAATTTATTCTGGAAAATTCATGGATTAAAACTTCCTTAAAAGTTCCACCATGAATATTAAACAGACGCTTTTTCATAAACGATATCACAGTTGTATTTTTTCCAAAAACTTGCAAGTTAGAATTTCAGGTTGAACCAATTTTTATTGATCCGCTGACACGGATTTTCTGCCGAGTAAACTGGTATTGTCGTGTTTAGCAAAACAGGCCAAACTCCCTTTAAATTTTTGCTCGAATACCCCTTAAACGAAGACAGTAGCACAGCTATCGGTTATACCGTTGGGAGACATTCCGAATATATAACAGAAGTGAACTAGTAGCCGTATCGACAACTCAGATATGCATGTTCCTCCAGCTAAAGAAAGGAAACTCAACAGCGTAGCCAGAGGGTTGTTATCGTGCCATGCGGGCTAAGATAACCGACAATTTTGGCTCTACGACAAATGCCAGTACCAATTTACCATCAAAAGGAACTGTAGATGGAATGGCTCTCCCACTGGTGAAGTCAAACCTCATCTTTTAGCAGGAAAGCAGCGCAAAAAACTGCTGTGCCTTGCCATCCGCAATATGGGACATACAGCAGAAAAACAACGCAAATTTCTTAGCAGCAATACTCATCTTCACTTCTTTTCATAAGCTACAAAGAGCTGGGAAAATCAGAACATCAACTCCCGAATGCTAAATGAATTTTGAAGCAAGGGATGAAAATTAAGGCTCGATTTAAATTTCTGCATAAGATTTTTGTTTTCTAACGTAAAGATGAACCTTGAGATCCTGCATTTGACTTTCGTGTTCCTTACATGTACGACTCTGATCACTGATTTTTTCCTTCAGTTTTTCAATTTCTTCTAGCAATTGGCGTTCATCGAGTTTTGTTTTGTCCCTTCAAACATGATTCAGATCAATGGCGTACTGCAAGATTTTTTGGGTAGGCATTGCTTCAGTCTAAATGCTCGCTGTTAAATTTTTTTTGTTAGATCAGAATTTTGTCTCACTAGGTGCAACAGTTTTCAAAAAATTTGAGGGGACTAGTAAAAAAGCAGAAAAAAGTATTAATAATAGTAACAAAATCGTTCGTTGTCGTACTCACAAACATTTGTAAAATCGTCAATGAAATGAAACGATTCATCCTTGGATGCTTTTGTAATGTGTTTGATAACAATGGGGTCAGAATCGACAGAATTTTTGCTGGATCTTCTGGCAAAAGCGGTAATACAAAGAAGAACTAACGGATAATTAATGCTTATTAGTGCTATCAAAGAAAAAGCATTCTAGAAAGACAAATTTTGTTTAGTTACTGGTCAAAAAGATATTCGTGTATGTTTGTGTCTGGATTTGTGTGTGTCTGCACGTTAAGTTTTCCTGTGTGGAAAGTTTTGAGAATTTATTAATGGCCAACTTACATCGAGGTATTGTTTGAGGTAACATTTGTTCCATTCGCATTTGTGGTGCTTTTTCCGGAATAAGTCTAAAATTATTTTATTTTAATGAGGGAGTCGGAAATTCACTACTGTTTTGCGTGATGCCCTGAAAAATGACCTACTTTAGGCAGGTATTCAGCGTCATCAAGTTCTCGCTGGATCCACGTTTCGACTTGCGAATCTTCAAGCCCCGTTGCTTGCGGTAATGAATTGTTTAGCCGTTTTGACCTAAACAACATACGCTCACAGAAATCTAGAACCATGCATTTTAACGACTTCTGCGCGATACCTGCTGAGTTCATTTTGTAGGAACTGAGAAGCTCGACAAACATTCCAAATAAATTTGGAATTTCTTATAGATTTCGAAACCAAGAGAATTAAAAACCCAGGCTGGAACGCACCAGGTTGCCGGTGCGATCATGTTTACACTAAATTCGCACGTCGCTAACAGCAGGAATGATCCCAGTGCTGCAGCCTATCACTTGAGCTTATATTGGCCGTGTTTTAGCCCCTTTCGGCATGCGAAAGAAAGGGCGTCGGATGGGATGAAGGTGATGCATTATACAGCCGCAAGAACTTCCAAGTACATGATCACCAGTTTTTTGCATGAAGCCTGGTCGTTTTTTCGGTAAATGCTCGCTTTTTGAAAAAATGGAAAGTGCAAATTTTTTGAAAAATGCAAGATTTTCAGTTCACTAAAAAGTGGAAGTGTTGCTCTTGTTTGTCAAAAAATCCAAGTATGTAAATGAGCTGAATGTTCATTCACATATTTGGATGAGGGCAGTCGTTCTCTGCAAAACACACTCCTTTCTGATTTTTTGGCAAAGTTGAGTATTTCTCACGCCTTTTTGCAGGGAATTCCACCTCCAAGCAGAATTCACTTGAAAGTAGAATATTCGAGCGAATTTTCAGCCTCGCAGCTTATGCGGTAAGCGAAATATTCACTTCGCTACAAATATCTTTGAAGTGCCCTAAGTCGTAGCGCAAGTGCAAATCAGTACTCATTTTATGTATACGATTTTCTACATGGGTGACAAACATGCTGGCAAAATTTCAACCGCTGTTTTCCTACGGGTTTTCGACTTAGCACAGTATCAAGTCGCAAACTTTGACGTGATCGTACGCGTTGCACGAGCTTGTGCGACAGCTGAATTTGAATTCTTTAGCTCGCAAATATAAAGGAAATATCCTGCAAAGTTTCAGCTTTGCACCTTACCTGGTTCGCAAAATCGTTTCCCGCCAAAGAAATTTGCATATTTTTTAGAGGTCCGTACGCGGAATCTAGGCGCGTGTGGGGGAAGATCTTCAAACGGGAAGTGACACGCGGGGTAGGAATATATGCCCAAAATTTCAATCTCCCAGCTTTCCTGGTTGCTGAGATGAAAGGGGGTGACAAAATGCACTCGCTTCTGAACACGCACACAGACGGCCTCTCGACAACATGCGTTTTGGCTGGTATGGTCTTGATTTTTGATAAAAAGAATGATAGTACGCTAGTAATACATATAATAACAATAATGAATAATTTACAATTGCTTTCGTTCATTTGGAAATGACGTTTCGATCACCACTATAACATTTCGTTTGCTGCTTACGAGGTCCGCTAACGATATAAATGTATCGTCGTCATCGTTGCTTTCCAACCTGTATTTGTTACTATCATATCAAGAGTAAACAAAAAATCAACTCTGCTCAATTACCTATTCTAAAAAGCTTCTTCCCGCAAATGTGCACGATAGACCCTGATGGCTTCTTATCATCAATCTCTCCAGAACTTCAACTTGTCGAGTGTTATTCAGTATCCTACTAAACCTTTGTCCCAGTTTCACGGATAGGAGTCTTTTTTTGTGAAGGTCCTCCATTTTTATAACTTTTCCGAAAAAATTCAGCGATTTTTGTGTCTACTCTTAAGGAAAATAGCAGCTCCTTATAAATCTGCAAATTCGTTTATCAGAACAAATCAAAATTTTACCTTAGAACTATTGAAGGTTGTAAAATGAATCTCTCCATCACTTCTCCGTCATGCTTTTTTGTAGACATTTGAAGTTTTGCTTTACCAGAACTGAAATTTATACATGGCTGTAAATCTTATAAAATTTGATCCAGAACTAGTGCAAAATAAGAAACAAACTTTTCGAAATCAGTGCTAGGATCAAGTGCTTCTAAATCATCGACAGTAAGCCGTGACCAGGGTTGCTGACATCGTGATCCCCAGAAGTATAATTCGTTATCTGCTGTGCCAGCCAATGAAAAACCATCACCACAAGCCAGCGTCTTCAAATACAGAGAAATTAAGACAAAGAAACTGAGCCAAAATTTCCCTCTTTACTTTTCACGGCAGAAAAAGGATGTACGCATCAATTCATTGGTAATAAGAATATGCTTGCAAAAGCTATCAATAATATTTTTTTCTAAGTTTGTAGCAATTCAAGCGAAGCCTATTTCGTTACCTTGACGTGCTTGGCACGCCAGAACTAAATCACTACTGAATAAATTATAGCGATTTATGGAAAGGCAGCTTTACCCGCTGGAGTACGCAGAGCACTGTTGTGGCAAATGTCAAGCTCATCAGTCAAGAAACTATCAAGATAGCGCCTTTAAAAAATGAAACAGTATCTTGGTAATTTCTTAACAAATGGGATAAGGTTAATTTGAAAAATACTGGAAATCGTTGAAGTCACGTAAAAATTTAACCTTCAAAAGGCTAGACTTATTGTAAAGGAAGTGTGAAATCCAGCTCAAAAGAGGTAACCGGCGTTAACGGCCAACAAATTAGATAAAAGAGCTAAATTTATTATTTCACTCAAACAAAAATTCATGGAATAACTGAAAGGGACGTAATTTATAGTGCTGATCTCTAACTATGCAGCTAGCAACTTTTCCAGTTACTTTGATCGATGCTGCACTGTCGGGTAAACAATGGGCTGGCAATCTTGTTATCCGCTTCTTCTCTTGAACGGAATTACCAACCCGTCGATTTTATGGACAGGAGCACTTTTCAAAACTTTCATTCGTTCCAGACATTCCTGGTATGTGTTGAACATAATTATGTGCCTTAAACATAGACATTTCTAGACTAACATGGTCCCTTGCCGACCAGGAGATGAATAGAAAAGTAAACAAATAAAGAATTATAAGGCCAATTCGCCCATTAATTGTAATTTTGAAGAAGCTCACCAGACAGGCTTTCGAAAGTAATGCCTTTACAGGCCTGCATGCACAATATACAACATTTGTATGGCCCAATCCCAATTCACCGCTTGAATTTCTCCCAAATAAATATATGTGACCAGACTCCAACAGAACTACAACCACACGAAGCATTGATGCTGCCAAAACCACCAGCCCCCATCCGCATCAAAAAGACAAAGATATTCAAAATAAATGTAAAAGTGTAGCAAATGATAAAAATCCCAAGCAGCGAAATTTTGTCAAAAATTTGAAGGATTTTGTGAAATGCCAAAAAAGGAAATTATCAAGATTTGTATTTTTTAAACAAAAAAGTGCAAAAATCAACAAAGAATTGAAAATCGAAATCTCTTTTAAATCACTATTTTTGAATGACATAAAAAGCGGCCTAAGTGTTATCATTCGCTAGCAGCAAGTATCCACTGGCAAGGCTGTTGATGAATCCTTCTTTTAGCGCCACCTAAGCGTAAGGCAATGGCGACTTGATGACCTGGCATGCTATCACTTAAACCAGTGAAGCAATTCTCAGAAATTTTTAGACTGACTGCTCCACTTACGAAATCGAACACTTAACTTTTAGTATAAAAGCATCGCCATCCGTCGGTGGTGCAATCCCTGTCAACATCAGAAACTTTCAAGCAGAACGTCGATAGTTCGACGCCGCCACTGAGGTAACCAGCCCCTTTTGATTCATTCATTTGTTTCAGTTGTAAATAGGCACTGGCACATGCCACGAAATGAAAATCTCTATTAGCTTGCCTCTAAGCAATTTCATGAAAAAGGAAATCATCTGGAGTCTTGCGCTTAACATATGTTATCGCCTAAGCCACCTCCTCACGATGGCGACTGCTGCTAAAAACCACGAGTAACTAAATCCACCTCTGCTGGCCGCATATTCTTTTCATTCAGGCCTAAGAAACTATGTTGCTGCCTGATTTGTTTGCAAAAACATTCAAAACCACCTATAAAATTTTGAATTTTTGCAAATAAGAAGCTAGGACTAAGCTAACCGCCAGTATGTGCAGCACCAAGCCTTACATCAACGACTCGCGATGGAAATCCTTTAATAGCTGTTAACGTTAATGCATCTGTAATGATTCCCTGAAATAACTTCGGCACATAATAATTGAATGAAATCGAAAGTACATCTACTGACAGTGCAATAACAGATTAACAACTGCAAAGGCGCAGCGACGACGGCGCATGATAGTATCCCATTAACACTGTTCACATTGGATCCTCACACCAACAGTGTAGATAGTCTTAGTTTCTGATAAATTTTATTTTGCTCTTACCAAACTTCTCGACAAAATTCCTTTTATCTGAATAATAAAATTCTGCATACACTGTTACACAACTAGGCTAATGCATAAAATTGAAAAAAATTTGCAAAATAAGAAAAAAAATTTGTTAAAAATGGTACTAGCCGTTGATGCTTTCATGTTTGCGAAAAAGCGTTCAGGATGGTTTAAATTCAATTTATTGTATGCATTCGAGCCTGCAGCTATGATTGAGCCCGAACTGGTCAGCAGTACTGTTGTGTCTGGACCACAACGTACATTCGTCACTACCTGCCGAATTGAAATATCAATCTGGAAAAACGGCTGTTGAGAGATACTCCGATATTTTGCATAGCTGTAAAATAAAATAGACTAACAAGTCAGAAGCTGTTTTTGAGACCAATCGAAGGCGATCTGGGCTCCCTAGCACCCTCCAACGAAACTATGATTGCCAAGGAATTGCTTTTACCATTAGCGAATTCGAACCAACTGAGCTTGAAAGAATAGCAAAGTCGCTGTTATTATCAATTTTTCTAGTAGGTACTGTGAAAGTCGAACAGCTCTCATTCTAGAGCCATGCCTTTTTGCAGTACTGATGCAGTTGGCAACTGTGGTCTTCCCAATTTTAGGATTTCCGCATCCACATAATAATGGAGGAGTAATGGCTTTCTCTATGTTCCTTTTACTCTGTCTAGGCACTAATTAGTAGTACGCTTTGTACACTTTTCTCATTCTTATCATATGACCAATATCTATAATTTTTTTCGAAACACTCATCAAATTCGGAGAATTAAATTACTGATTCAGAAGGACTGCCCGGAGTACGATGTTGTCAATAAACTTTGACTAGACACTCAACTCTATTTAAAACTATTTATGCAAACCAACCGGTACAGCGGTCGTTACAAAACTGGTGCTACCAGTACCAAGACGACCATTTGCACCATTACCCCAAACATACACCTTACCACCGTAAGCAACTGCAACCGCATGCTCATCGCCGCATCCTATATCAATAATATCCTCCCTGAAACAACCTTCAGTTAAGTGCGGAAAATCAAGAATACCAAGATCAATCGATATCGTCGATTCCGAGTTAGTGATGTGAGGGGCAGCAACTCGCTCTTGATCCTGAGGTGCACGCATTTATTTACTACCTGTTGATCTGTGTGTGACATCTCTTCGGATACGAAAAAGTAACCGATCAAATATCACTCTTTGATATGCAACGTCCATCAGCTATTAGCAGAAAAGTAGCTTGTCCTGCCCTTTTGATTTTGCTTTCTCACGTGGTTATGATGATATCTTGTACGCCGTTGTTTTGACGATGAGTCTAGCTGCTTATATGATCGCAGAGAAGCACTACAAGCATCCTTTGCTCTATTGCTCTCTAGAACACATCAGTATTTTCTTCACTGCTTTCGATTGTAACCAATTTTGCATCCGTACGTCACTGTCCTCAGCAAAATAAAAATTTAAAATACTTATAATGAGAAGGCTAGAAAACGCAAATTAAAGAACCTGAGTAGTGAATCGATGAGTACTGGTTTCAAGTTATCTTCTGGTCTTTCTCCATCACCGCAATATTTCTTATTACCACAAAACATTGCGGTACCACGGTCTGTACCAAAAACACTGAATGTGGCACCTACAAAAATGATGCGCCCTGTACTTTAACTTGAGATTTTTCATTTTCTCTTGATAAGAGAAACGAATGTACACATCTGCTACAGAAGTGAGAGTGCTACGATGTTTACTGCCTGTAATCACCCAATGGCAAATCAGTCTTTCCCTCCCATCCACTCCTTCCAAAGTTTGCATAAACAAGCACATTGAGGGTGTTTTTATGCGTTTTTGCTGTGCAGCGCTATAGCGCTGCTACAGCCAACAAAAACGCATATTGTCG